TTCAGCACCACGTGGGCATGTGGATCCCTGATCCCCAAAGCAACTGGGAAGGGTCTGTTTGGAAACCGCTTTAAACAGGTTACCAATGCAACGTCTTTGGATGGATGGACAGATAAACTGACGGCCTCTTTCTTCACAGTACAGTTACATGCTTTTCAGGATCATTAAGTTCAACAAGGGAACAGGATGCTAGGGGGAGTGGCTGCAGTCCCTGAGGATGGCCCTTTTCCCATTCTCCCTGAAACTGGCATCGTGCCTGTTGTCCTGCAGACAACTCCTCCTACCAGTTCAGTAGAACTTCTTCAGAAAGTAGAAGTATAGGGGCAGATCCCACAGAAATTCAGGTTTTAAAAAACTCAGTCCAGTAAGAACAGCTGCGCATCTCAGCATGGATATCTGCACTGTGGAAACTAACGGGTAGGAAACGTAAAAATAAGACCACCTAACAAGCTAGTAGTCAGCATATTTCCCAGGGAAGCACGAGACCAAAATGCGAGCCTGTCCTCTAGCAAGGGCTTGTAACCTACCTCTCTCACTTCTCAGAAGAGTGCCCTGACCATCCACCACTAGATTGGGGTGTAAAAAGTAAGAGAAATGTATTGGACTGGCCACTGACAACTACTGGGAGCTTTATCCTTTTGGAGCAGGACAGGCCTGCACTGTCAGACCTTGCCCAATGGCTCTCCAGGGCAAAATTAATGACATTTTAGGCTGCGTTCCTTCTGCACACAAACCTGCCTCCTCCCCCCTGCTCTTCCTCCCCATGACAGCCAAAGGCAGTTCTGCTGTGTGTTGTAAGGCACTGCAAAGGACAGTGTCACTTCCCAGCTAATTAGTATTTGTGGCCAAAACTCCTCTACTCCCCTCTCTTACAGCTCTCTTTCCTGCCGGGAATATAAAACACAGCCTTGGCGACACACACCTGCATGGAAATGCATACACATCAACTCCCAATTAAGGGATAACTGCTGCAAAACATAAGTGGCTCTCATGAACAAAGGAAACAGCAGTCATATTAATAATCAATTAGATGGAGAAGCCACCTGATGCTACCTATTTGGAGAAGTCCCCAGCTTCCAACAGCTTCTGCCTATGCAAGAGAAGCTGAATACAGTCTGTGTCACAGTCATCTTGACTAGGCAAAACAGCCTCTTCTGCCTCTTGACTCAGGGATGCTCTTCCCCCTTGCTCTAGTTCTTAATAAAAGCCATGAATGTGGATAAATGTCATGTCCAGTTTTAAACCCAACTGGGTCACCAAACTGTATGCTGCACCCTGTTCTGCAACTAAACTACTCTGTGAAACACCTCAGTTATAACTAAAGAAGGAATTGTTCCCCTGTTAAAGGCTCCGCGAATCTCACATTTCAATGCAAAAGTTCATCTGGCAGCTTACGGCATATTAACCAGTCTTACATCTCTTTGATGTTTTGATCTATAACCTAACACAATGAGCTAATTTGATGTGACTCAGTGTCTCTAACTGTATTTTATCACATGCAATACGATGTTGGTATCTTTCAAAGAACAAATTAAATGAGCTGAAGGGTTAATAACTCTGCCGTTACTGCTGGAGCACTGCAGAATAGGACCCTTCCTGTCTTCTCAGGTTAGGTTTGAAAAAATGCACACACAGAAGAGAGCAGAATTGAAATGGATGTTTCTGTCGACACCAGCGAGCTGCAACTGTCTGATCTCCGCTGAGCACCGGCAGCTCCTGCCGACTGTGGCGGGTCAGACTTGCTTATCTTACCAGATCATCCTATTCCTTCCCATTGAGGAAAAGCAGAAGGCAGGGAAGCATGGAGCTAGGGCAGGGTGCTGTTTGTTTTTACATCCATTCCTTTTTTTTTTGACTTCCCAACAGGAATACGTGAGTTTGCCCCTTCATCCCTCAACTATGTATGGAAACCTCAGCGTAACAGTGCCTGGTGCTTCTGCTGCTTGCCTGGGCCACCAGTAGGAAAAGACGAAACATTTACCTAGGTGATTCAGAACCTGTAGGTAGGTTTAGCTTGATATCAGCTATAAAACTGGGACCGGGGAGGCATGCCACAGAGCAGCTGGCACCGACACTAGTCAGGGCTGGTGGGCAAAGGCATATGGCCACAGAGAAGCTGATCTGGTTTTCCCAGTGACCAAGCACCCTCGGCTCCTGGCTTTGTCCCAAGTGAAAAAGCAAGATGTACTTGGTTTGACCTCAGGCCATGAGACTGGTGTATTTTAACACACCTTCTTCTATTTGAATCTTGGCCTTTTTTTTTTTAGTGGCTGTGATCTGAGCCTACTCTAATGCTCACCATGTCCTAGTGGATCCGAGGGACTGGTAAATGTGGCCTTAAAAGCTTTGCCTGTCCATCTGTCTTTGTCGTTCTTGCCCTCTGGAGCAGCTGTACGCTGCTATGTGGCTCAGCTTTTCAGTAATATTGAGAACTCCTCTAGCATTGATCCATTAAGAGATTGACACAGTCAATTGCAATTAAATATGCTGGGAATTATAATACTAAATTCTCGAGCTACTGAAAAGAGGACAGAATGTATCCCTGAGCATGGTTGTTCCCATGACTTTGAAATACCAGGAAGAAAACAAAATGAAGGGGGAGAATAAAATCAAAGAGAAAAAGCAAGTGGAAGACTCCGGGACTCTGGACTCCAGCATTACATTACACTGAATGCTTATTTTGTACAGTTTCACAGTGTAAGCTTTTCTTCCTCTTTTTTGGTGTTAAAGGCAGTGACTATTTCAGAAGGCAACAAGTGGAAAAAAACAAAAATGAAACACAGTGCTCAGAATGGGAAGTCAGAGGTATGTGCTCACCAAAGCATTTGGAAATGCTGCTCACAGAGGCAGCATATGCATTACCATACTGAGAACCAAAGCAGTCTTTCAACAAAATGGAAAAAAGCCTCAGCCTGCTGCCTGCCTTCTCCCAAATCCGTTCTTACTTAGTTACCTGTACCATCATATCAGAAACTTCTCCGAACAAATAAACGAAGTCTTAAACAAAGAACTCATTCATCTCTAAATTAAAATAATCATGTAAACCTTCAACCCACCAAGTTACCTTTCATCTTTCCATTTTTTTAAATTTATCTTACCAGCTTCACCAACTGGCTGTAATAAAGTGTCACATTAAGGTATTCATATTCATTAGTGTTCAGGTCTTTGTTCTTTTAATAGTGTTGGAATGAAACTACAAAGAGGCTGTATTAGGCAGCTGTCCAATCTGGGTGTTTGATCTCCTTCTGACTTCAGAAGTCAGAAGAGGAAAAAAAAAAACATTGAGAAGGGTTCTTTTGAATGTCAGATTGGAAGTATATGATTTCTGAGCCTGCCAAGTGTTAATTGGTGTTTGCCCCGACCACGGTACAAACAAGATTTGGAGCCAGTTAATGTACAGTCATGAATCTCAGCTATTGACAGAGTGAGTCAGGATACTAGTAGGCAGGAAAAAGTGCAATTATTGTAAGTGCAGCTCACAGAGGATCTTTTCAGAGCTCACTTCCACGCATCATGTTAAATCAAGCTGCTTGGGTCCCAGCCGCCCCACTGGGCACTACAGACCCTTCTGAGGGAATAGCTAGACAGGCTGCTGAAATTTCAGAGGTGCTTGTAACACTGCATTCAAACAAACTACCCATCATCATCAATCTCTGTTTCTAGACCAGGTAATGAAGTTCTTCAGTACTACCCTGCACTTCCAGAATAACATATCCCATTGCAAACATTCTTGACATGGCACAACGGCAAGTTGATTTGATGCAAAGAAGCATCAGAAAGGAAAATTAAAAATTGCGCTAAGTTCCTGAGGAAAGCCAACTGATTAATATTACAGTTGTCAGCAAGCTGGCTTGGCAGACCTAAATGCTCTTTACTGTTTTAGGGATCTTAACAGTGAAAGAAAACAGCCTACGGAAAAAGAAAACGGGAAAAATCTTCTTTGCTAATTATTGCTCCTGATGTTTGTGGACATGTTTCTGCAATTTTGATTAAATCTAAACTTGGGTTAGATGGGGAGGTAACACTTTAAGTTTCATCTCCCGAGAAATCAGTCATCAGCGCTGAGTGACAACCACTTTGCTACTTAGACATGACAGCCTAACTTCTCCTAATGCAAACTGGCAATAGTTTCTCCTGTGCGTGGCAGAGGAAAACCAAGGAGAATTCAGATAGGGGAATTACTGTCATTAACAATCAATTTTTCTCGTAACAGCCACAGCAGATTTAGGATTTCAGAGACCCCCCTGTGACTCAGAGACCCCCCCTCCCCTGAGCAATGAGTGGAAGCTGGAGCCACCACTGCTCTGAGGGAAGCTCCTGTTCACAGGGACACCCACTGCTGTTGGCGGGCACAGATTTTGCTGAAGGGTAGGCTTGCTCCTGCCTGGTGCAGGGCAGGCTACTCAATCCGAGTTTACTTAAATGCCAGTAGGAAAACCAGATGAGCCCCTGAAGATGGATTATTAGGCAGACACATCCCCTACTTGCCCCCGCATCATGCTGCTTCACGTGGGAGCCCACACTGGACCACGGCACATCCTGTTGCACTGAGCTGGCTGGCTGGTGCACGCACAACCATGTGCACAAACATGGGAGGGAAATAAAAGCTGGCAAACTAAAAATTAAAATGTCTTCACAGTACGCTTGAAAGATGTCTCTCAGAAAAAGTGAAATTATTTTTCCTTTAAAAGGTAAAGGAACGATAGAAAGCTGGTATTAATATGCTCCACCAGCTACATGTCCTTTGGATGCCAGATACAACTGTGATTTTTGAAAGGGAAGAAAAAACTAAAACCAAACCGCCTGCAGCTCTGCCCAGCAAGGCACCATAATCCAAAGCCATTAATCAGTTCCCTATCAATCTTGTCTACCAGCAGCAGTCAGTCAGCTCTCCATCACCACCCATACATCATGCCATACCCTAACTCACTGCACCATTAGCCACCAATCCAGCCTTAGTCAGGACATCCAAGTGCCAGGACTCTGCTGTTGCTGCTCACCTCAGCTACTGGGATGCCTTCGGGGGGACGGCACTGAAGCAGGACCTCTTGCTCCAAGGACACTTCTTTCCCCAAGGGCTCCTGCTCGAAAGTTTTCCGGAGATCTGGGGAGGGAGAAGGAGAAGACAAAGAATTAGTAGTATTAATAGCTGGTCATTTAAATTATATTTGATTGCCATACTTGATAAGATGCAAGAGGTCTTTCGAAACAGAGAAAATAGCATTTCTTCTCCCTGGAAAGTGAAGCACTTAGAAAAGACCGGGACATGTTTTCACTTCATTCCAACATTAAGCGGTCAAAGGTTTCATAGTGGATTTATTATTTATATTGTGGTAGAGCATGTGAACACAGCAAGGATCCAAGGCCTCACTGTGAAAGGTCATGACCAGACACAGAATAAAAAGCAAAAGTCCCTTCTTCAGATAATTTACGTCTGGTAAACTATGCAAGTGAAGTACAAAAGAAAGTTAAGAAAAATTGAATAAACCTGTAAAACTAAAGCATATAAGCTAAGTTGCCTTCAACTCATGGATGTAAGTGTTCATGCTGTGACTTCACATACTTTTAGTTTATAGGCATTAACTTTAGAGCTTTAGCTAATTTGTCTTCACTTTCTCATTATCCCTGTAGCACTAAATAGATAATAATAATAATCGTAACATGGAGCTGAACCGTGCTTGGATCCCTGCACAGCACCACAGAACTGTGGCAGGCAGAAAGGGCATTGAATGCACCTCCAAACGTCAGACCAGTTCATCGTACTGGACAGCTCTTCACCCTGGCTTTTTTGTACGCTTCTGTAGTATCTTTGCATTGGTGGTAAAAGGGACTCGAGAAGTTCCCTCCTCAACACTGGCTCCATATTTCTGCCATGGACTGGTACTCCCTCCGCTGTGCCAGAGAGGATGGGGTTTTGGAGAACCGAGCATTCAGCCCCAGTAGCGACTGGGGATCTTTCTCCCTGCTGCTGATTACTGCTGCACAGTGACATGGGCATCAGGGAGCTGGCCTGACTTTAAAAAAACCTTGCAAAAAAAGTTCTTTTTATTTTATTTTTTGTTCTGAAGTCAGACCAGTTCCCTATGCCAGCTCATGGCGAGGTTCCACAAATGGTTGCGCCATACTGGAAACAAGTCACATAGGAACAATTTAAAAGTGAAATATTTCAGATTTTGGAGCCATAACCTGAGGCTGTGCTGGAAAACTGATCACTGAATTGAACTGGTTTACAAATAAACCATCCAAAGAATTATTTTTCATCTAGATTACCTCCAGGATCTGATTTACAGTTGACCTCACAAGAAACTGCATCAGCACTACCAAAAGACAAAACCTGGGGCAGGCAAATACACAGATTGAAAAGGAGATGGGGCATGTGCCACCAAAACCAGCTCCTCTGAAACTCGCCTTCGGATAGCACGAGACCTCTGTCTCTTAGCCTACATCGGGAAAATGCAGTTGTTCAACTACCTGGAATTAAATGTCTATCTAATTGTACCACGGAAAAGCTCTGTCACAGCTGGAGATGCTGATTTTAACTTAAGCTGATAACGAGGTAAACTTATAACATCCTTAAATATTATGCGTATCCCCAACAAAACTGAGGCATCTCTGTTCTTCCCCTGCACTGCAGGCACAAAAGGAGCGACCCCAAAGCCCACTCCCTCCCCACGACCAGCACCCCTGCTCCCTCCAGCACACAGGGCAGGGATGCTGAGACGCCCTCTGATGTGATGGGATTTATGGCCGCAGTTCAGGGCACAGAAAGATAAGATTTGGTGGATCTTACTGTGACAATGTAAGAAATTACTGCCTCCAGCTGTCTGCTTGTTTGGGGGTTGCCCTCTCTCGAAAGGCAGCACACGCCAATGCCACAGCTACCTCACTACAAAATCCACAATGTCAGCCTCGGTTGCTGATGAAGCTGGCTTTAACCTATAAAGCTGGATAGCTTATGGCAAAGAGCAGAAGCAAACATCTGGAAGTGATAATTTCTTAGGATGACACATCAAGCTTCACCAGACTATGTCTGTCAGTATCCTTGTCATGCTGGAGTTCTTCCAGGCCCACGAGGCTAGTTCTTGTGAGAGCAACCACAGCAAGACAACTGACCATATTAGGTCGGTCTCTGATGCCTGCACATAGCTCCCACCGCGTTGACGCCCCAGCATCATGAGCCCACCAGCTTCATCCGACCCTCTCCAACTGGCTAATCATGGGATGTTTGGGTTGTATGGCTCAATTTGAGTAAAATCAAAACCTTCCAGCTGCCCTGTGGGTGGGAGTCATTCCAAGGACAAAATGCTGAGCTTTGGCTTGCTGTACTTCTGCATGTTAAACATAGAGATGAGCAGCTCTTTCGGGAGCTGGTGGCTTTCTCAGGACACTACACCCTTTCTTTGGCCAGGCTCCTCACGCATCCTGTGGGCTTGATACTTACCCTGGGCACACATAACATCAAGTTAATGCAGTTTGCTTTAGGTTAGCAAATAACCAAGGTTCTATTGTTAGCAGTACCCATATGATAATATTATTGCTAGTTACACAGGTATTTCCAAAGCAAAAGAATTACCTCCACATTGGGTACACCTTAGTGCATCTAAAAGGTACACATATGTGCATGGTGCAGACAATTATAACAGATGCATGACACTCTAATATCATGGCTAAGGATAAATGAGAAAATTACCATGCTGGTAATAGAAGCTTATAGGCACAGTAATAAATAGTACATTAATAATAGCTTTCAGGTGTTCTGATATGGAGGGACGAAGACAGCAGAGGCAGATTAGATAGATAATAATCTGAATTTTTTCCTTGACACATTGATTTACTGTCCTGCCTACCTTCCTGAAACATTAATAGAGCTCTAAAGACCTCCATAGCCTCACATGCACAATAATCACCTCTCTCATAAAGCACTTGCCTTAAAAAAAAAAAAAACAAACAAACAATTATAGTGCATACAAAAGTAAACAGCATTAGTCTAGAAATGTGTAAGAACAGTACAAAATTCCCACTTTAACCTCTTTATTATCAATAGCTGGAATTGCTGGGTTGGAACAGCCCCTTCTCCCTGGGAACCATCGCAGTGGGGCTGCGGCAGGGGAGATGAAGCCTGCGGGATTCTCAGCTCCCCCCTGGCTCCCCCTGCCCGCAGAGCCTTGCTGTGTGCAGACGCTTTGAGCGGGTCAATGATCCACAAACTAAAAATACACTAAGTAAGGGCCTTGACATAATAGACAGTAATGTTCTCAAAGGAGCCATTAGATACTATTGAGTAAATGATACTAATTTCTGAGGAAAAAAAAAAGTACATAAGTGTGTATTTACAAGACTGGGAGCTCTTATACCCTATTCTGTTGGCTCCCTCCCACGTGTTCCCAGCTTTATCCCACCAGAACTATCCCCCACCTCCCGCCGCAGCCATGCCACCTACAAACAGCGGCTGCAAAGGGCAGGTTTTACCTAACTAAGCATAAGGTTTTCTGGTTGTAACAGACAAAAAAGTTAACAAGGCGGTCTTTTAAGTGATGAAGAAGTGGAGGGCCTGGACAAACAACTTTGTCACTGGCTCTAACTCTCATGAAACACCCTGCTGGGACAGCATTGGGTTTTGAAGTGACTGCTTTTTTCCTATGGCCTTTGCAGTATGATTTCCGTGGATAGCGACATCTTTCTAATTTTGCAGTATGATTTCTGTGGATAATGACATCTTTCTAATTCTACAGTCTTCAGCTTCCTTTGCCATTTAACAATTATAGTCATCATGGCAACTTCACATTGTCGACCAGGAGTGGGTGAGCTTGCTAATGTACTGAGGGACTTTGGATCTTTTCCAAGCAGAGTATTTTCAATAACACTTTTCACTTTTTCAAAGTGTCATATAAGTTACAATTGCTTGCAAGCAAGGACAGAAGGCATACATCTTCTCAGAGAATTCGTAAAAGACGAATAAGATACATTCCATTTGAGAAAAAAAAAGAAAAAAGAAAGGTTTTAAGAATCTTCAGAAAATACGCCTGAAAAAACAAAACAATAAAACATTTGATCCATTCTGGGTCAGGACCTCTTTGTCTGTGAAGAGGCAGTACGAATTATTAAAGCCTCGGGTTGGCATCAGTCCTGTTAATGCAAGGCTGAGAGAGAGCCTTCTCTACCCTCACCTTCAACAGGGAGAGACACAAGAGAAAGGCAGTTGCACTTTCTTTCCATTAGTATTTTGGTAATGTAGAATAATCCCTGACTGTCTCTGTCAGCAATAATCTTCCTCCCCTTATACAGGTAACGTTGCTGCTGTAGCTCATCTCTTCTGGAGCAGAGCAATGGTGGACAGCGATGCTGAGGTGTCTGTCTTGCTTTTCTCACCAGCTCTCTCACAAATTTCACCCAGCTGCCAGCGGGGATGTCATCGCTAGGCTTAGGACCCCCATCAGGCATTTTCCCCCACCTCTAACTTCCCTCCAAGGTTGTCTCCATAAAAAGAAACCAAAGAGAAGAATTAAAATTCTGGTCTGCCACCTTGAGCCAGACTCTATTTTCTTTACTAATGTATAGTCTTAGTAAATTCAGAGGGGGCTCTTGTGGCATATATCGCAGCACATTTACAGCATACTTAAGATGAGACTTTCCTCCAAGACTCCTGAAATACTCCTGCACAACCCTCTCTGGTAAAGGACAGATGGCTGCATTCAGAACTGCATTGAAATGAGAGAATTTCCACAAGCACAAAACTGAAATAGTATAATGGAAAATCAGAATCTCAGTTGTTCCCCAGCTTTATTCCTGAATCGCTATGCTTTTTTGGGAGAGGGGCATTAGATCTTAATTTTGATGCACTGCTAAATTACTTCCTTTCACGTTTAATGCATTTCTAGCTTACAAGCCACTCAGAAGTTGCATTTTTGCCTGCTAAAGGTAATAGTTTCTACAGGAACTCATGGTAGTTCCCCACTTCCTTTTCTACCTGTCAGCTCCTAAGGAAGAGCAAAGAATGACCCCATTCTTTTTTTTAATCAAATGTATTCTATCTCTTTGCTGTTCTAGGCTTTACTGTGATGGGTGGGTGGGGAAAACTTTTAGGATTTCTTTTATCATTTCTGA